CACCACACACACACACACACACACCACACACACACCACACACACACACCACACAAACACACCACACACACACACCACACACACACACCACACACACACCACACACCACACCACACCACACACCAAACACACACACACACCACACACACACACACACCACACACCCACCACACACACACACACACCACACACACAAACCACACACACAAACCACACACCACACCACACACACACACCCACCACACACACACACACCACACACCCACCACACACACACACAAACCACACACACCACACCACACACCACACCACACACACACACACACACACACCACACACACACAGCACACACACACCACACACACATAGACCACACACACACCACACACACATACACACACACCACACACACACCACACACACACACACACCACACCACACACACCACACCACACACACACCACACACACACCACACACCACACACACATACTAAACACACACACACACCCACAAACACCACACACACACCACACACACACACACACCACACACACACCATACACACACACCATACACACATACACCACACACACACCACACACACACACACACCACACACACACACCACACATACACACACACACACCGCACACACATACTAGACCCACACACACACACCCCACACACACACCACACACATACACCACACACACACCACACACACCACACACACACCACACACACACACCACACACACTAGACACACACATACCCCCCACACACATACCACACACACAAACACCACACACACCACACACATACACACACCACACACACACACAAACACCACACACACACCACACACATACACACACATACCACACACACACTACACACACACACCACACACACCACACACACACACACACACACACACCACACATACACACACACACACCACACTCACACACACCACACACACACACACACCACACACAGCACACACCACACTCACACACACCACACACATACACATATACACACCACACACACAGCACACACACACAGCACACACATACACATACACACCACACACACACACCACACACACTACACACACACATACACACACACACCACACACACACCATACACACACACCACACATACACACACACACACACACACACGTTTCTAGTCGCACGATGCCCTGTATGTGGCACCTCATGATTCTGCCAACAAATTCATGACCAGCCAGTGCCCCTCAAACTTGGACTCCCAGAGCCAGGAATCAAAACACAGGTCTCCTTTCTAACTCAGTCAGTCTGTAGTCTGGAGCAGTTAGGAGTGGAAAGTGAGCTAAAACCTGTCCTGTAAAAGCCTGTCTGAAGAGGAGCCTGGAGCTGCTTCACCCGAAGGAGGCTGTGGCTGCTGGGCAGCGAGGCATAGCTCAGCATCCTCCTCCTGTGGGGTGTGGGTGGAGTGTGTGGACACCTCTGATCTTGGATAATGGGAACTCCTGCACCATCCCCCTCAATTGGAGCCAGGTAACCTTGGAAACCAGTTTTGGTGATGACAGAGCTCTAGTGACACTGGTTTTAAGTGACTGTGTGGAGTCACCCTTCTTGTCCATTGCTCCAGGTTGGAATTTCTGTGGTTTTAGCCCCCTGGAACGTGGCCTTATTGGTTACTGTGGCTGGCCTTGCCTGCTCCAGCACTCTAGCCTGGAAACCCTGGGACTGGTGGGGGGCACAGGGCAAGGGTTCAAGTTCTGGACACGGAGTGGAATGGGAGGCAGAGGCTCTCTGACTTGTCACTTTGATTCTCGCAGGAGGGGTCCCTAGCCCTGTGCATGCCAGGTAACCGTGGAAGGATGCTGTGCTCATTTCCAGTACGTGCAGAGTATCCAGCCTGCTGTACTCCAGACATGCCCACACTGGGAGGAGAGCCCTGAGTGGGGAGACAACAGCAGAGCTCACCTCTCAGCAGGGCCTGGGTCCTCTACCCTTGTTTCTCCCATTCACCATGATTGGCCTAACCCTCGCTCTGCCTTCAATTTGCTGCTCTCAGTTAGCAGCCCCTTTCTTGGTTCCAAGGGTGCTGGAGCCATAATTTAATTAAGGAGAGAGTAAGCTATCCTACAGTGTGTCCAAAGCCCCCAGCGCGTGTCTCTGCTAGGAATCACATCCCCTTTCTGCATCAGGCTTGGGGCTGAGTTCTGCCTGATGGTGAGAGGCAAGCTCTGTAGACAGTGGTCCACACAGCCTGCTGGCTAACAGCACTTATCAGATACTGAGTGCCAGCACACACACTCAGGGGACTTGCTTCCAGGGAGCCGGTCTGCTCACCTATGAATATTAATTGGCTGCAATTACCAAAATAAAACTATTCCAGTAGACACGTTTACGAAAGTGGGCGGGAGTGGTCATGTATAACCAGGCATGTGTGTGTGTGTGTGTGCGCGCGCGCGCACGCCTGTGCACAGAGTTCTACAAGCCAAGGTTGTTCTGTTTGCTTGGCAAAGGCGCTAGGTATAAGAAGCAGATGAGGAGGGAGGAAGGGGATGAGAAAAGGATGAAGAGTGGTAGTAGGAAAGTGATCAAAGAAGAGAGAGCGCCGAGTAAAGGATGCATCTCCCTCTGCAAACGTAGTAGGTGAGTGCCACCATACCCCCTTTTACAGTCAGGGCAGACATTACTAATCAAATCATATTTTTTTTTCCACGAGAATGGATGGAACCTCAGAATTGTTTCCAGTTCTGAGTTCCAGGCAGCCGCTTCCAATCGATTAGCTTGCAGGATGGCTTCATTGATACACCTGGGGTCCACGAGATAACACTCAGAAAGGGAGGAGTTAGGATGGAGTTGGGACTCACTGACATGTTCCAGCATCTCCGCGGTAGAAAATTTCCCTTCCACAATATGATCTCATTAGCTGTATGATGGGCAATGTATTTGACTGGCTTAATTGAGTTTAGAACTAGGTGGAGGGGTGGGGAGGGCACACTCACTCATAGGGCAGCTGTCCACCCATTCTACCCATTCTCCTGCACCACACTCCACCCTTCAGCTTGCTGGGTACCCAAGCCTCATGCTTCCTGCTGGCCATCTGTTCACGAACAGACACACAGCCAAGTGGTATGAACATAGAGAGCCTTCTGTCATGTCAGTTTCTGTCAATGGGATGTGAGCAGAGGCTTGATATGTGTGGGTTTCCTCCCTTTCTATTCTGAAATATCCATTGACTATGCTGGGGCCAACAGGCTAGAGGATGAGGCATGTGAAACATGGCCAAGAGGCCTGTCATTTAGCAAAAGGCCATCCCAGGGCAGCCAGTAACAGACAACCCCAGACAAATGACCCCAACCACAAGAAGCAGGGAGCCTGGTCCAGGTAAACCACCAATCTGCAGACTTCTAACGAAAACACAGTAAATGCTTACTGATCTATTGAGACATTTTGTTACACAGCAACTGGCTGTAGGTGGCTGATACATACTGAGGATGGTTTTCCTCCTCTGCGCATAGTTTTGTTTTGTTTCAAGATAGGGTCTCACTATGTGTACCAAGCAGGCCTCAAACTCACAAGAGACCTGCCCGCCTCTGCCTCCCAAGTGCCTGGCTCTGAGGATGGTTTTCAACTCTGACTACACATTAGAATCAAACAGGCAGCTTTAAAAGATTCTGACAGCCAAAGAGCACCCCATTTAAATGGAATCAACATGCCTTAGGCAAGAGCCTAAGGTGAGGATCATTTCCATGCTCCCACAGGGGGGTCAGATTGAGAATCGCTGTGTCAGGAGCAGCTCTATGAAGCACTGGGGTCTGTGTGCTTGTCTGCACATATGTTTCACAGAAGGCAAGGGTTATCACGACTAAGCAGCTGGGAGAGATCTAGAAAAGTAGTTGAACCTCAGTTGCTTTGCTTGATTGTTGCTGTGGGATAAAGTCAACCGCTTTAGAGGGCTGTTGTGAGGGTGGGACACTTAGCAACAAAGTTGTGTGTAGGAAAGGGAACAAGGCAGTGTGGCTCCTTCCACACTGGCTGCAGTAGCCCAGGGAAGAGGGGACATGCGCGCCTGTGTGTGTGTGTGTGTGTGTGTGTGTGTGTGTGTGTGTGTATATACAAGCACGCACGCATGCGCTTAGCACAGTCCTGAGAACTTTACTACGTGCAGCTTCTGCGTTTGCTATATTGCTATGCTACTATTGTTATGCTTTTATCATGGAACTTGATGCTTCCCAAAGGCAAACCTGTCCCCATCTTCCTCCACTCCCTACAGACCAGGGAGGTGGGGCTATGGCAAGCTCTGCCCTGACCTTATAGGTTGCAAATTTTAGCCAGCCAGGCAGGGCAGGTTGGGAGAAGGTAGGTTTTTCTCCAAGGAAGGGGCCTTGGAGTGGAGCAGGGAGAGGAAAGCCTGGGCTTCCCAGACAGTGAGCAGTGCAGGAGGTGAAGCCTGCTGGAGGGTGAAGGGTGTTTTTTGGCTTCACTGCTAAGCCCATAGTTGAGGCTAGGGGAAGACAGAAGGGTCTTTGTGCATGCTGAAAGGGCTGTGTGTGTGTCTGTCCTAGCCTTCCCTGGCCACACCAACTCCTTGCAGTCAAAATACACTGAGCAAGCCCAGCCACACCCAAGAAGCATAAGCACCTACACACACACACCCCTGCCATGGCCTGAGTCCTGGGCCTGTTCCCATGGCAACAGTACCTTTGCATGGGCATGTTTGGGTGACTTAAATCCTCTGGGAGCAAAATTATTCTTCAGTTGAGTGTGGCGGCAACACCCTGGTCCTTGCATGCATATTCCAAGACAAACCCTCATAAACCGGACTTCTCTCACCATCCAGGGGCGCGCCCAGCTGGCTGTGTTACAGAATCACTGAGAAGTTTCTATAGGAGGGGCCCTCCTTTGCTTTTGGAGACTGCATCTGGCTCCAGACCTCCCCCCTCCACCCCCCAGGACCAGCTTCCCTCCAGTCTCCCCAGAGTAGGACCTCACATTCGGCTGCTGGGCGGGATCTTGCGGCCATCACGGAACCAGGTCACCTGTGGCCGGGGGAAGCTGGAGATTCGAGGCGCTCGGATGACAGCAGCTTCTCCATGGGACACGCTCTGATGCTTCTCGCCCTCCTCAAAGCTCCCCATGTCTGTGGGGAGAGGAGGTGCAGAGGTCAGGGGTCAGCCCAGTCTCAGGGACTGCTCAGCAGAGAAAGGATGCTGTCAAGAGGAAGACCACGAAGAAAAGTTGGAGCACCTTACATCCCATCAGGAGTGTCCAACCTGTGCCCTCGCTGGGCTGCAGACATTCCAGAAGAGCTATGAACACAGCTCACCACATTCATAGATGATAAGGTCTGTCACGGGGCATGCTGTTGGACACTTCTGCTAGTATTCTGTGTGATGTGTCCTGCTTTGACATTTAGGTTTTGTGTAATTTGTACCCATGAATCCTTGACTCAATTTATCGCACAGCCACGGGAGGCTTATCACCATCTTACACATTTTACAATGGAAAAAGCTGCTCAGATGGCCTGAGCTAAGTTAATTAACCTGTCTAAGGTCATATAGCCAGCAAGGAAAAGAGCTAGGATTTGAACTCAGACCCTGAACTCTGGAATTGGGTAGCATCTCCCCTTCCTTGCCCTGTGGAACTGTTTCAGTACAGCAGGGGACTAGGCTATGGGGTCGTGGGACCAGACCTCTATGGCCTTAGGCAGAGGGAAGGGGCCTGGCATGCTGGAATGAGTGAGGCCTCTTCTGAACATAAACACTCCATTGCTCTTTTTAAAGCATGCCCAGCCCTTAGCGGGTAAGTGGAGACATTGTTGCCAGCCTTGATCTCATGCAAGCCAGGAGGAAACAGAGAACAGAGAAATCACTAGGGGGTAATTTCTGGTCTCTACCTGCCTGCTGGGCTGGGCTGGGGTCAAGGGATTGGCTTCCACAGCAGTGTGTTGGAATGGGCTTTGGAAAAGAGCACCTGGTCCATTATGACCTTGACAATGAATGTGCATCCTTGAGACTCCAAGTGTGATTGATGCTTGAGGCCACAGCAGAGGTACCCTGGCGGCCTTGAGACATGCAGAGTCTCCGAGCCCCTGGAGCTGCCTGATCAGAACCCAAAGACTCTCCTGGCACCCAATGAAGGGCAACCATGCTCACCTGTGACAAGCCCAGGTTGGCTGTGTATTGGAGGCACCTGAATTAAAAAATGCTGTTGGGATCCCCACCCCCCAGAGCCTCTCATTTCTTTGGTGGGGGTGTGAATGGGGACACCCCCATTAGTTCCCAATCCCTCTTCTTATTTATTACTGTGACACGTTTAGACCAGCAGGCCAATACGCACTGGGAGTTCAGACTATGGCTTATGGAGTCTTAGTTTCTCCTTTACCCAGGGTCCCCTTCCTAACTACAAAAACACATGCCCTACTGAGGCAGAAGTTTTCTGTCAACTCCTAACCCCATGGCCTCTTCGTGTCCTTGATCAGCCTGGTCCTCTGACTGCCACAGGCCTCCCCCTTCAGGACCTCTTGTTTTTCCAGAGGTGAGGGCTGGAGTGGGTGGGGTTCAGGCCTGAGCCAAGCGTGAGGACTTCAGTGTTGTCTGAAGGCAGCGCTGGGCTCTCCCACCGCATCACAGGCAGTTCCCCACCAGGGTGCTCCCCACTTTCCCGGGGACATGGGGGGCCCTGCAGAACACACCTGAGCCTCTGAGTTCCTGATTCCACTGCAGATGCCGAGGACACCCAAGTGTAAGGCTGCTAGCGCAACGCGCTCCTTTTCTTCAGCCTGGACTTGATCCAAGGACTGGCTCCCCTAACCTTGACCGTGGCTTTGCTGTAAACAACTCTCCAGTGCCAACTCTTCCCTGGGCCCCAAGACACCATTCCTGACAGTGTGCTCTGTGTGTGTGTGTGTGTGCGCGCGCGCATGTATATGTGTGTGTATCTGTGTGTGCTCTGTGTGTCTGTATATATGCAAGTGTGGGTGTGTGTCTGCATGTATATGTGTGTATATCTGTGTGTGCTCTGTGTGTCTGTGTGTATGTGTGTGTATGTGTGTGTGTCTGTGTATATGCAAGTGTGAGTGTGTGTGTATGTATGTGTGTGTGTATATGCAAGTGTGAGTGTGTGTCTCTGTGTGTATGTATGTGTGTGTGTGTATGTGTGTGTGTGTGAGAGAGAGAGAGAGAGGGAGAGAGATGAGAGGGTTGGGGAGACCTTGCTACATCCTCAAAAGCTCTACCTTGTGTGTTGTTTATTGTCCTCTACCGGCCCCTTTGCCCTAATCACTTGAGCTCCCATCACTGGTGTTTTCTTTCCCGCTCCCTACAAAATCCTCAGTCTTCCTTTGGGTACCAGTTCATGAGCTAGGGCTGACAAGTTAGGGCTGACTCCCATCTACATCTAGATCACCCCCCCCCCCTTAGGATGCTTCTTTTCTCACTTAGAGCCTGTGGAGTCTCCTTATTGCTCCAAGCCTAGATCCTCTTTGCCTAGATTCAAGGTCCTCCATAACCAGTCTTTCTTACTTTAATGCCCATCTCTCATCTTGCCACCTTGAGTAGTATACAACCTGCTTCCCACAGCTAGGCTTTATTTTTCTTAGGTACCTGCTCAGAATGCTACTAGGATGAGCCACAGCTCACCACAGACCCGTGGCTCTCTAGCGTCCTGCATAATGGAACTTAGTGTTTTAAAAGGAAACAGCTACTGACAGCATCCTTGTTTTAACTTTGGCAGGCACTGAATACATTATATAGTAACTTTGGAGACTTCAAGGGTAGAGTTCAAATCCTAGCCCCATGTGCTCCAAGTCTTTGACCCTTGACCTTTGTGGAACTATAATTCCTTCTCTTGTAAAACTGAAAACAAGGGTAGCTTCCTCGTGAGTTGTACTAAGGGTTGTATGAGATGTGTATATGCCAGATTGCATCTTCCCAAAGGTGCCTGAATCAATATTTATCCCCCTTCCCACATGCTCTTATTACAGTGTGACTCATACTTCTCCCACATATACCCTCCCCTTGAGTCTTGGGAGCTCAAGACTGTTCCATCAATAGAACATGCTGGGAGTGGATGCTATATGGTCTTAAAGGTGAAGTCATCAAAGAAGAGCACATCTACTTGACTCTACTTGACAGGTACTGGCCCTTAGAATGCAGCCACCATGTTGTGAGGAAGCACAGTCGAGTGTGCATGGGAATGCCTTGGTGGAGGAGAACTGGGGTCCCCAGGGGACTGCCATCAACACTAGATGTCCAGATGGACAGGGGTTATTTCACCTGCAGCCTTCACTATGGAGGCTTCAACTGTCACCAAGCAGGACTGTCTGTCTTTGCCTTGTCCCCAGTGAGCCCCGTCCAGATTCCAGACTTAAAGTGTCAGCTTCTAAACACTGTCCTGTGTCACACAGCCTTGGGGTCATTTGTTACACAGCCATAGGAACTGGAGGAGTGTTAAATGCCAAATAAGTGTATCTAATATTCTCAGCATTAGAATACTGGAATCCTGTACATTTTTCATGAACTAAATCACTAAAGTGAACATTACCTCCTCAACAAAGATTATCCCAAACCATCCAAATAGAATGAAAACCCGGCATTTACCCTATTCTGGGTTTCTTTCCAGACAGACTATACATACATTATCTCATTTGAGCCTCCAATAACATGACAGGATAGATTTTTAATAAATACACACTTTTAGTTGTTTATTAATTTCTACTAGTTGGCCCTATCTATAAAAAATTACATCAATAAATCAAGCTGATTTTCATTCTTCTAATAATTTTTATCTATTTTTTTTAAAAACTTTTCACAGAACTCAGAAAGATAGATTTAAACAATTTAAAGCAATTTCATGATAATAGTGTTCCTTTCTCCCCACTCTCCCTTGTTTTATTAGCTCCATTTGGTCTGCAAGGAAATGAAGGTTCATGGAGATGAAGCGGCTGAGCCAACGTTAAGCATTTAGGGTCGAGCACAGTGCCGCCTCCCTCCTTGCTCAACTGTGATTTGCATTCTCTGCAGAAACCCATGCTCAGAAACCCATGCTCTTTCCTAGTTCCTCCTAGGTGATCAGCAGGGACAGACATCTGAAGTCTAGTGTATTCGCAAGCAATTGTCTATCAGATGGTTAGGTTCTTGTTCTGCCTAGAGCCAAGAGCTCCTAATGGAGCTCTACTGTGGGTCGGCCGGCTCTGTGAAGGTGCTAATCAAAGAACTGGTCTCTTGGAGCTTTTCTTGCGGAGGCCCCAGGTTCAACTCCCAGCATGCACATGTTGACACACGACATCTGTAACTCCAGTTCTAGCGGGTCCTGCACACTCTTCTGGTTTCTTTCACAGACATGGTACGCATGCACTCACACAGGTGCACACACATGCCCATACATTTCATTAAAAAATCTTAAAGAAAGGGAAGACTGGTTACTGAGATTACAGTCTGACCTGGCAGACAAGTCCATCAGGAAGTGTTTGGAGGAATCTGTGACAATTCCTGGGAAGGAAAGGACAGAGTTCCCTGAGAAGTGCTAGCAAAACCTTCCTCAGGCTGGGAAGTGGGGGAGGCCCCTTTCAAGCTGAGACATAAATGAGGGGTAGCTGTAGCTAGGTGTGCATGTGCATGTATGTTTGTGTGTGTCTGCACATGTGTCTACACGTGTGTACGTGTGTGTGTGTGTGTAAGGAAAAGGTTATAAGGTGGGGCAGAAGGAGAGGGTGTGGGCAGCAAGTAAGTAGGGTGAAGTTACTGCAGGGATGGAGAGATGGAGGGCTGCATGAGTAAACGGGTGGATGCAGGGGATGGATGAAGGCCTGGACTGATGGGGGAGTGGGTAACTGAAAAGGAAGAAAGGGATGGCAGGATGGATCATTGAATTATGTATGTTTGTGTTTCTATGCATATATGTTATTGAGTATATGGACAGATGGATTGCATGTGGCTACGTATGGTTGTTTTATGTATAGGTATATGGTTGTATGTGTGGAGGGATGCTTATCTGTAGAGTAGATGGGTGTGTGTGATGAGCTGGATGGTTGGATATGTTTTCATATGTGTGTAGATGGTTGTAGGTGGGCACGAATGTATATGTTTACAGTGGGATGGGTAGACAAAGGATGGGCTTATTTAGCCTTGGCCCCTGGTC